TTCAGGCTGACATCCCTTTTTATCACATTTCAATGTCTACACTGAAGTCAGAGGGGTTTAACTGTCAAAAGAGGAACGTAAGCTTGTGCTCAGTCCTCTCTGAAGCTGAGCCTTAACGCATTGTAAAGAAAATCAGGGTAAGATTCACAGATTCCATGGTGTATATCCGGCTTCATCTCAGAGCTGGTGGAGTCAACTTTAGAAAATGGATATCATTGAACAGTCGAACAGAGAATTACTTCTTGATTAAACTATGCTTTTGGTAACTTTTAATTCCTCTGGAAACTTAGTTCATAAATTGAATATTCGAGGAGTTACAAAATTGAAGGGAAATCGTATTTTCCTGTTCAATACATTTGCTGAACAGCAAAATTTGCAGAACATTTATTTTCTCTGTTTCTTTAAGGACTGTTATTGTTGAACAGTGAAGGGGGGAGGGATATAAAAAAAGGTATGAAATAAAAACTAAAATCAGAACAAAAAATGGAGTTCAAAACAATAATGAATGTTTAAAGGGTAATGTAGTTACAATTTAAAATTTTTACTTTTTTTCCTGGTTTTGCAGAGCTCAGTGTGGGTACCTCCACTAGTTTTCCCTCAAAGAAAAGAAAAGGTTAGGGGTTAGATGCTGTGCTGGTAGTCAGTCACTTTTTTGCCATGGCTTTTATCCCAAGTTTGCAGCAGTCTAGTGGCAGATCTTCTATTCTTGATGAAAGGATCAGAAATCATATAAAAAAAGTAACTTTCCTGTCACAAAGACCTTCGTGATGGAAGTTGAGAACAACTTTGTTATTGCTGGGGACAAAGTAGTTGTTGGAGTAGTCCAGCACAGTCCAGAGTCCCACAGAGAATTTCCTTTTTGATGAGTTCTACAGTGACACCCTAATAAAGGAACAATCAACAGAATAAAGCAATTGCAGTCTGCTGTGCTTTATGGCAAAGGACTGAGGCTTGTCCAGAGCCTTTTTCAGTGTCTACTCTGCTGACAGGGTAGAGGATGCAGCAATGTCTTTGAGGAGCAATGAGATCCATGTCTTTGAAGTTGGCATAGGGATTATAAATTCCCTTTGAGCTACTTTTAATAGCTGTTGATGCAAGGAGAGTGTTCACAGTGGAAGGCCTTGGTGCACTGAGACCCATCAAAAGGAATATTGTCAATCAGGTCTGTCAATCCAAACATCTCCCTGGCCAGGGCGAGTAAAAAACATTTTGTTGGCTGTATAATAGCTTTGTGCAGTCCCTGATAAAACTATCTGAGCTGGATGGGCAGCAATCCAACTGTTTAACCAAAGAATACTTCCCGTGTTACTCCTTTTGCAACTCACAACTTGCACCTTGCTTCAGTCAAGAGCCACTACACTCTTTGCTATGGTAAACAGCTTCTGAGGTAAGAGAGTACTTCACATCTAGCTTTCAGATTCATAGCTCCTCAGCGTCTGAGAGGAACCAGAGCAGACTCCCCAGCGGGTATCTTAATCAAAAGAGGGAAACAGGCAACTGAGTGATATTTAAAGATAAGCCTTCCAGAAACCTAACTTTGTCATCTGCAGCTGACCATACGGCTTCGTTGGGCCTGTCAGCAGCAACTGCTGACAAACTGAAGTCTCACAGAGGCACTATGGAGAGAGGGCGTGAGGAAATCCATCCTTGGATGTGTGGGAGGTATTGGCAAGATGTGAACAGCAAATCCACAGTAATGCTGAGATGCTACCCAAATGCTTTTCCGAGATAAGAAACAGGAAGTGGTATCTCTTACTACACCTTCTTGATAGCAAGAATGGCTTGGCTGTAACACAGCTTGAGAGGCTGCCACCCCCAGGAAAATAAAGGTTCAGTATAGCCTTTGATTAAAATGTCAACTTTTATCAGATGTCAGATGCTGGTTTTGTATCTGAGTTTATTCTGACGTGGTGCTGCAGTATCAGTCGCCTTGTCCTATGGAAAGACTGAAGTAGAAAACATAGAGAGTAGCTCTTTAACATTACATATTCATGCCAATTATGTAGTTAGATAACAATGAAGATGCATTTGTTAAGTAGCAAAAAGACAAATGGAGTGAATGACAAATCAAAAAGCTGATCTGTCCCTCTACTGATTGTGAGGGGGACCTACTGTGGTGTAAGTGCATGGCATTGATTGGACATAGCAGGAGGAGATTTCTGTAGTGGTTTTTCTCTCTGTACTCATCCTTACAGGGACTGTGACTGTCCTTTAAAGTTCCTTGTCTTCGCTTGTATAAGCGAAGGTGTATATATATATATACCTTCCTTGTATAGGTAATATTTTACATGTGTTGGATATGTGCTTTTCATTCTCTTTGTTGTGCCATAAAGCTGATCCAACCCAGTCCTCCATGTTTCATTCCCCTGGCGACCAGAAACTTACTGTGAGAAAGGAATACCAGGATGCTTGTCTAAGACAAGCTTGTCTCTGCTTGTCTAAGGCTTTTTGTAAGAATAGCTGAGCCTCTCCTGTACCCTAAGCTAGTAAGACCTTAAACATTCCAAAACTGGCTGGTGTTTGCTGGGGTGCTGGGGGGGGCAAAATGAAAAGCTGAGCCTTCCCTCCTAAAAAGAGAAGTGACTCTGTGTGAATTATGTCACTCAGATGATTTGCAGAGAGGACAGCCAGGCCTGATTCAGTATGAGCTCTGCACCTCCACCCACCTTTTTCCCATCAAGAGCTGAGCAGATCCCCAAATGAAAAGACCTCCCTCATCTCCTCAAAGGAGAGAGAGAGAGAGAGAGACAGAGAGAGAGAGAGAGAGAGAGAGAGAGATTGAGAGAGAGACAGAGAGAGAGAGACAGAGAGAGAGCGCGCTACTGTGGAAGTAGAGAGCACTACCATGAAACAGCCTGACCGTGGCTGATGCAGGAGCACCTCCTGGTGTTTCACAGCCAGAGAACAGGGAGATTTAATGGAAGATACAGCAGTAAAGTTTATATATACAGGCACACTTGTTTAGAGGGAGAGAAGTTAAGGACAGCATATTAGCTTTGATCTCAGTGATGAATGTATTTATTACTAAGTTTCATTCATAAATTTGTTTCATGAAACAAAGATCAGCATTCTGTGAAACCTGTTTTATCATGTACTGGCATCTGTTCTCTTACATTCACTGACCTTCTTGCCTGTAATAAATCTATTAAGTCTCCTTTCTTCAATCTCATAAAATAACAGATTTTTCAATTTACAAAAAAAACACCATTTTGAGATACAGCATGTCAACAGGGGAAAAAGATACCTTTGAGGCAGTAAAACAGGGAAGTTTAACAATGTGGATGTTTGTAGGGGAACAGGGGATTAGAAAAAGAGGTTGGCAACACAGAGGTATTTACTCATGAAAATAAATGGAGATTATCAAGAGAGTATAGAGTACATACCAGAAGCTGTTTTACACATTCTCATGTGCAACACAGTAGCACAAGAAGTGAATGCTTTACTGCTGTTTTGTTATTATTGCTGGTACACTGGGGATTAACAGAGAATGTTTTAAGAGCTAAGCAGTGTGGATGACCAGTTGTCAGGGCAAAACTGCTGAGTCCGTGGTTACCCCTCACGTGCCTCCAAACTACGTCATTAGAAAGACACGGGTTTTAGAAGAATCTCATTTTGAAAACATACTCACTGTGTGCTGGACATGAACACATACTGAAAGAAATATCCGTTAAATATTATGTTCATGGATGTGTGTAGACATGTGTGCATGTGTAGATATATTTAACTATTTGTCTTGTTTTGGACTAAACAGGTAAGGTATAGATTTCTGGTGTTGCTCTGAGGCTTGAATTTCAGATATTTTAGCCCTAAAAACTCATTCAATGTGACCTTTTACTTTTAAATATTCTCATGCTGCTTTCCAGCAGATCATGCCCTCTAGGGGGCAGTTTGTACCACAGGTGAAAATACTGAAACATAATGATCGCCACTGAGGTGAAATTATTTCTAGATGTATTTGGTTAAAGAACTGAACATATATTGCTTTCATGAGAGAGGGAAAACTCAGAAAACTTATGTGGAATAATGGTCTGTAGAAACTAGCCCAGACTAGCAAACCAGTATTGAAACCAACCTTGCGTGCTAAGTGTTTCAGAGACAATGAGCGAAGAAGGAAAAAAATTAGGTAGGGTGCTATTTTCCAGCTAAAATTGCATACCTCTGACTTCCTCGGAGAAGTACAACAATGAATATTAATGCGTCTAGGAGCACAGAATAAAAAGCAACATGAGAAATGAATAATCAAGAGGAAAAAAGCCGCGTGGTTTAGTTGTTTCATGAGGTCAGGATGACTGGGGAGAGGGAAGGAATTAACCACATCACAGTATTTGCTGCTATTATAAGGAGCTATACAAGCAATTCCATAACTGATGCAGCCCTCACAGCAGCTGTTTTTCACAGTGGTTATATAACACTGCATGTAGGCAATGCTGCCTCTTTCTCTCATGCTTCTTTGGCCTGTTGTTCTGCGTTTGTATGTATCACCTAGTCTTGTGACAAAGTGACAGACCACAGTCAGCCATCAAGCTTCCTATTCCAATTGGAATATGTGTTGCACGTTGGTAGCAAAGCTCACAGAAACATTTTCAAGGTTAGGCCTTTTGATGACATTGGACAGCTGGAGAACAGTGACATGGTTTGCAGTTTGGGTATGTGCAGACATCCAATAATGTTCTTAGTATTTTCAAGTTCACATGGCCCCACTGAAACCTGTGGGATGATGGTATTTTATGTTTATGGAAAACCTATCTCACTGATTCCGACTTCTGGTTTTAAATCTACCATATTGAATTTTGTTTCACTGCCATGATTCTGGCAAAAAAACCCCAAAGATCACAAATAGTGTATGTTTGTAGTTTCCTGTTTCTTATATGTTGGGTTTTTTTTCAGATTGCAACATAGACCTTTCTATAGCAGTTGATACTTCCAGGCGCGTGCAACCAGCACCCACAGTGCTTCTGAAACAGAGGTTGCAAGCATTCCTCCCCAGACTTTTACTCCAGATGAAATCATTACCAAATACCAGCTGTAATGCTCCAGTCAACATTAGATTCAAGTTCCAAGTATTGGCACAGAACAAACAATTCATCTTTGACTCCGGTTTTGAAGACTATAATGAAGAGATCATACAAAAGTTCTTAGATGCACAGGCCACTGTGGACACCTACCTGAATACAGACTTCTTGCAGGCACTTGAGGAGAAGTTCTTCAATGTGACCTCTGCTGAAGTTAAGGTAACTTGATGGTATGAATGTATATCTTGGAAAGAAGTTGCACAGTTTGATGTTTGCAGATTCTGATGCTGAGTACTCCAGGGAGACAAAAATGTAGTTCGGGAATATGTGAATTTAATGAACAGAATCACAAAATGGTAGAGATTAAAAGGAACTTCTGGAAGTCACCTTGTCCAACCCCCCTTCTCAAGGAGGGTCAACTAGAACAGGCTGCCCAGGACCCTGTCCAGATGGCTTTTGTGTATCTCCAAGAATGGAAACTCCTCAACCTCTCCAGGCAACCTGTGCCAGTGCTCAGTCACCCATGTAATAAAAAGGCTTTCCTCATTTTTATATAGAACCTCCTGGTTTTTTATTGACCTGATATAAATACATATTTCAATTCCAACTCCCCAGGCACTCCGGCAGTGAGATGGCACCCAGAAAACTTGTCTTCGTACATATAATGACAGCTATTCATACAGATAACCTTCTTATATCTACCATGAAATGCTTGTACTTTGAGTAGTGGAAAGTTGTTCTCTTTTAGGAATTCCTAATCCTGATGCTGTATCTCTGTCCAGAACAGCGACAACTCTAAGCAGAAATCACAAAAAAAGGTCATCCGAGAAATTTGTTTACAGAGGTTTATTCATGTCATTAACTTATCAAATAATTTCCAGTAACAAAGCTGAGTTCTCTTTAAGGGTAACTGATGATAAGGAAAATCTGCACAGATGCAGTTTATTCATCTATCTTGAAGTAAAGTGAAGGGAGAAGTATAAAGCTTCATTTAATCTCTTCTGAAATGAGTGGGGAGTCTTTCAACTTGGGCTCAAGAAATTTAGCTCTCACTGGAGTGTTTCAGGGTCAATGTCCTGACAATTTATTCTTAATAAGGCACTGATGCAGTAAAGCACTGAGCATGTCCTGTAGTGTTCAATATTATCACTTACTAAGGGCTCCATGCAGTAGAACCTTCCTACTGAAGAAGGACCGGTTACTCCTTGCAAAATAAATAAGGGGTTTCCTCTTTCAGCCTTATTTTAACTTTTATAAAATGTTAATTTTAATATCGTGGAAGGAGGAAGCCAAATTACAGATCCCTCTGCTTTCAGATGAAAGTTGGTGTTCTATTTTTTACAGTATTTGCATAAGTGTGGCTTATCAAATTAGGTTGTAATTTGCTGAATATTTAACAGCTTTTTTTTTCCAAAGATCTCTTAAAATGTCTGACAGGGAAGATGACCATTTTGCTTCTTATGAGCCTCAGAGGGAGAACTTGTTTGACATACCAGTAAAAAGCAGTGCTTTTTTCCTCTGAATTGCCAATTCTGAAGATTAGAGTCAAAAAAAGGCTTCTTTCTGCTTATGTGTTATTACTAAAAATAAATATGTTGCATATATCAGCACTTTACCGATGGATTAATATTCCTTTCTGATACTGTTTATGTGCAAATTGAAAATACAAGACTTTTAAAATCCAAATGAAATCACAATTTAATTTCCCTAGGATCCTGAGCAATAACATGCTTGTTCTGTAATGATTATTGATTATAAACCTCATCAGGGACAGGGATTCTCTGTTGTTTGCATTTCTTCTTTTCTTTATTATTTGTTTGTTTTGCAGCAAAAGAGTTGGATCTGATTCCAGCATTTTTTGACAAAACATGACTCATATGTGTTCCAACAAGTGCTTTATATAAAGATAAACTTTGTAAACATAATTGTTTACATATATTTACATGTAATGGCCTCACTGACACCCCATATTCCCTGCTCCCCAAGTTTTAAAAATGAAAAGATTATAGAAAAAGAAAAATCATCAAGCCCAGGCCTACAGTGCCGTTCCTGACAGTCTGTGATGTGCTTAACCCTCCATGGTCCAGCTCTCCACTGTATCACAATTTGCTTGAGCAAATGTAGAGTCAGCACCAGTGCTTCCATATGGGATGTTTGGGAACAGCACCAAAACCAGTGAGCTCTGCCTGTTTTTAAATTCTTGTCTCCTTGCTGCTTTAGCACAGCAGTGGAATGTTTGGTGTGGTGGTCACTTCCTTTGCTCCTGCCATCTGTGGAAAAATTTACCTTAACAGGAGTAACAGGGTTTGCATTGGTCAAAGCTGTGCTTGTGCAGGGAATGTAAAATACGAAGAACAGGAGGGAAGAAACTCTAGCTGTGCTTGTCACAGAGTATAGGAGGAAGTGAAGTCATTACCACTGGGGACAGGAGACAGTTCAGCTGTGCAGCTTCTTTCTGGGAAAACTAATCAGCTGGATGAGTGGGTCCTGAGAAGGCTTCTGCTTATTAGAAGAGGGAAGGTGGGGAAAAATGGGAAGAGACTGTTAGCTCAGAGGGGAATTGTAGAAAACTATGCTATCCTCCACTCTGGAAGAGGCTTAACTATAGGTCTTTGGCCTGAAAAGGTAGAAATGTAGCCAATACAAATGATTAGAATCCATAGGTGAGCTAAACCTTATGCCTTAACAAGATAAAATTTGGCAGAGAGTGGAGCAGGGTAATGTAATGGATAAGTTGCAGCGGCATTGGCCTTCTACCTCGCATGCTAAGAAGATGACAGACATAATATTATTAATAGCCATGCTATGAACTGCTCACCAAGACAAATCCCTCAAATTCAAGTGCTGTCAAGGAAAACAGACTTTTGTGTTCTGTTCTCCTTGCTCCTCAGCACCTTTTTGCCGCACACATTTCAGATCTACCACAGTCAAGTGCAATTTGACCACCTCGTAGCCAGTTTTCAGTGCAAACTGTACTTTTTACAATGACTGAACTTTCAGTCCCTGCACAATTGACTTGGCATTACTCCCTTTCCTAACAGGTTCTGTTAGTATTTTCAGATGGGTTGGATGATTCGCTGGAAGATCTCAGGAAAGCATCTGACTCGCTTCGCTTTAAAGGTATTACAGTATGATGTTGGTTCTCCAGCCTCCTACTACCCAAAGCCCAACGTGTTGCTCACCCACTGCAAATTTTCCACATGGTGTTGCCTCTCTGCACTCATGTGACATTTCTCAGGAGTCCCTGGGAGACTGTTTACTTCTCCATATGAACCAATGTACATGGTTTGTCACTGTTTGGCAGATGATGCCAGAAAGGACACCTGGGTGTACAGAGGTTCCAGTTTCTGGAATCCGTCTTCAACAGCTGATGCGACTCAGGACAGCCCCCTCTCACTGATGAGTACAGCACCAGAGGTTAGGCATAACCCAGACTTCTGCAGTGCAGAACACTAATGTTGGGGCACTGAGTAGCAATCTGGTCCGACAACTGAGAAGTTAATTGGAAAATTACTGGTCTGGATTTTTCTTTTACACATTGTTCTCAATAGCTTGATTTCTTTTAACATACTGTGTTGAAGTCGTGAAGTGCAAGTCTTTTAGAGAATTACTGGTACTTAAAAATATATTGTTGGTTAAATAGTGTATTTCAGGCATTCACTACTTAAAATCTGTGCTTATGTTGAAGGTCTTGATGCACTCCTATTAGTTGGCCTGGACAATACACAGAACTTGACTGAATTTTGGGAAATAGAGTTTGGCAGAGGGTTTGGATACAAAGAACCTCTGAGTGTTGGGTTTGCAGAGATTGCAAGCATCTTGCAGAGAAACCTTGTAAGTCCTTCTGTAATAAAAACAAAATGGAGAGAAAAATTAGTCTTTGCTTTATGATTAATATACATAAATGAAATGTTTCTTGTCATTTTTCAGGATACTGTTGCAGAAAGGAAATGCTGTAAGGTTATTTGTAAATGCCTTGGAGAAAATGGTGATCATGGTGTCCGGGGAAGTCCAGGAAGGAAGGTAGAAGGTCTAATATGGACATTACAGAAGAACTGCTTTATTCTTCAAAGAGCTTCTGTTTTTGCAGTATTTCGGAGCATGCATGCATGTGCCCATGACCTTAACTCTTAGGACAGTGTGCTTGGAGAACAGTGCTACTTATCTTTTAAATTCTCATTTTTCAGGGAAGTACGGGTTACAGAGGATCTCCTGGCCATCCTGGTGAGGAAGGTGGGGTTGTAAGTAAACATATTTCTTCCTGCTATGATGCTATCTTTGGTGCCTGAGTCTGTCTGCACTTACTCACTGAGTATTCACCAGTGCTAACCTAAAATGTGTTTAAGCAACATGTATCTGCAGGTAAATATACAGATTTGATTCTCTGTGCTTCTGCACGCCACGATAGTTAGTAATTGAGTTAAAACAACAACCCACCAAAAGTGAGTTAGTTATTCAGGTAAAAAAAGAACAATCCACCAAAAGACCTACCTTCAAGTACAAAGATTTCAGTCGGAGGTTGGTATCGCAGTCTGAAACATGGCATGATAGTGAGAGCAGAGAACCAGGTGCAACTCAAGTTAGTAATTGACTGCTCTTTTATGGTCGGTATGAAAATCTCCAGGTCACTTACACTTGTGTCCCTAGTGCAGTGAATGGTGATAGAATTCTGTCTTGCTTTAGTCTTCTGTGATGAATTCACAAGTAACCATCATTGTAGGGATGAGACTGAACATTTTGTTTTCTTTCTTAGGGGGAGAGAGGCCCAGCTGGTTTCACTGGGACTCAAGGAGACAGGGGTTGTCCAGGTGCTAGAGGCCATAAGGCAAGTATGTAACTTTGAAATATTTCCTAATTTTGTGTCCTGCAAACCTGTTTTCTGTACTGGGCAGAAATCTGGGGGCTCTCTTACTGAAGCATGGGTAGAAAACAAGACCCAGCTGTAAGAATGGCAGACAGTGTTTGCTGTCTCATTTTGAGAGGTATTTGGAGTAACTGAAGCATGGTCAAACAGCTAAAGATTTTGCTGTCTAAGAAACTTGGCAGTTTTCACCACCACCTCTGGACTGTCTTTAGTTAAAGCTATAAAGCTTTATGGAACAAGAATGAAAATTAGGACTGTACTGTCTCCCCACAGGAAAGGGGTAAATCCTATAAGTGGCAGTAGAGGGTTTTAGAGCAGGAACGTAGCAATACCGAGCCCAGAATGCCCCTGCACAGCAACCTATGGTACCCTGCTTTTCAAGCTCAATAAAGTACTTTCACCAAATTTCATCTGTGTTTATTTTTAATTTCAGGGGGCCAGAGGCTACAGAGGAAATCAGGTATGTGTGCTCATGTGTGATCAATTTTCTTTGAGAACAGTGTTCTCTTTCCTTTAAAGTTCATGTTGCCTTGTAAGAAAATACCAGCAAAGAAGGAAAACAATGTAAGAGCTTCAGACCATTTAATGTACTTTTGCTATGGTTGTCTAAGAATTAATTTAAGATACCTATGACATTAATCATAGTAAGCAGTCATAATTTTATTTTTATATGGTTGCAGTCATAGTTGATTTATTTTAACTAACAGGGATTTATTTACTGATTAATTTGATAACCTATTAAGGTGGTAATTCTGGTCAGCTGAATCTCATATTCTAATTGTTGAGGAAGCAGAATAGAGGGGAGAAAAAGATTGTGAATAATATTTATTGTGGGTTTGGACAGCATTTTCACTAGATCACTGTTGATACTATTGACATTACTCAACCTCCAAACTTCTCTTCATGCTGTTCTTGTCATCCACAATTATTGCAAGTCTGTTTGTTTAACCTTTTAAATATACCTGTTCATCAAAGAGATAGTCACCAATTCGTTAATAAAATGTGAAACCTGGAAGACAATGATCTATAATGGCAATATTAGTTCCCAAACTACAGTAATTGAAATGGCATTAACTTGAATTGAATGCTTTTATACAAAACCACTTTCTAAAAAAGACTTGGGAACCTCAAAGACTCAGAAGATTCTTACCTCCATAACTGAGCAGCAGTGAGAAAGTTGAGTGTGGTTCTGATAACTCAGCTCTATTTAAAGTACTGCTCCGTACTAACTTTTTAATCTTCTCACATGTTTCTCTTTCCTTTTCCATTTTCTGCTCTGTTCTCTGAAGTAATTTATCCTCCTTTAAATATCTGAAACATCTGAGTATAGAAGAGGGAGAGTGCTTACTGATGATTTTGATTTGTCCAAGTTGAATAGCGGAGTAGAAATTACCAGGTGCACAAACCCTACTGAAATCCAATGAATATGTTACAATCTTCGTTATGTTGTGTCATTATATCCACTGATTTTATTTTAACTAAAAATATGAAACTTTCAACACATAAAAAAATGTGATTCAATTCTGCCAACTTAGTAAGGTTGAGGCAGTTTATTGAAGTTTGCAAGGCATTTTAGTATAGCTATTTGGAGAAAAAAAGGCAATACTGAATATTTAATACTATGAAGTTTAGCTCAGGTTTTCTGAGGTAGGAAATGATTGATAGAAGGATAACACTTGAATAAAAGTCATAATTGCTTATTTAGTGCTTATAATTTTTCTGGAATACTTACTCAAAAATTCTTGTTTGTGACATATTAATCTAATCAAAATGTGCAGCCAGCTATTTTTTCTAGTTGTACATACAGAATTGTTATAAATGAAAGAAATTCTTCCTCATGAACTTTAACTAGATGGTTTTGCAAAGTCAATTTAGCATCAAAACCTACAAAGCAATTGTATCTGTGGTCTCTCTCACAGTGAGACTCCTGATGGTTTTAACTTGTGCCACTTTCAGTGATTGGTTGAATATAATTTCAGCTTTCAGAGTAGTGGTCTCTGCTAATTTAATTTTTTGCTACAAATTAAAACATCAGAGTTAATTCCTTCATTTTTATCCTAGTAAAGAAAGAGGGAAGAAGCTTATTTGGTCAGGTCTGAAACATGGTGAAGCATGCATAAATGAAATAACATTCTCTCATTTATAAGTCTATTTAGATGCCTCACACAAGTTAACACTGCAAATTCCTTAAAGGAGGAATGGGTGCTTTGTGGGAAGATATCTTCCGTAAATGGTTGTAATATGGTAAATCATGTTTGCTGAGAAAGGGAGGAGAAAAGCAATGTGTGTTTGAAAAGCAAGATGACTGCTTTTTATATAGCAAGCACCACATTGCTGAAAGAATTAGGAATTTTACTTAACAAGTCCCAAAGCCTAAGATCAGGCTTCTGTAATTTTTTAAATCATGGTCGTTCTTTCTAGCTTTTCAATACACTGTTCTTGGTATAAAGCTATGTAAAAAAAGAAAAGCACAATACAAACACATGGTGGTTGACATCAAAATTAGAAAGTTGTCAGCATGATAAATCAAATACTAGTAGTTATAGTTTGAAATATATCTAGGTATTGAAGGTGCTGCAGTTGGAAGAAGATTTGAAAACAGAAAGAAGGAAAAGCAGAATTTAAATCCTGATGAAAATCTATAGTTGTAATGACTGTTGTTCTTATTAACTGTTCTTAACAAATAATGGTTTGTTTTTAATTTGTTCTTAATTCCAATTTATAATTACTATTCCTAATTATTCTTGCTAACCATTGAAAACAACTAACCTTATTCAAGTTTCAAAATGTAAGGTGAACACTTCTTCCCTTGCTCAGAGACAAGTGGACTGATGCTAAAAGGGAATTTATTGCTTTTGCTGCAGGGTGAATATGGTGAGAGTGGATTTGATGGCACTGATGGAGAGCAGGTAATCATTACATGTGCAGTGTTACTGAAGACACCTACCTCAGGGTTCAAAAGTACAGGTTTTATGCCTTGAATAGGCTTTTATCCTGAACAGAAATTCCATTGTTATGTGTTTAGGATTGCATATCTGATTAAAGTTGGATTCTGCCAGACTAACCCTGATAACCACATGTATCATTAAGAACAACCATTATTTTTTCTTCTTTTTCCCCCTTTTATGAGTCTAGGGAGAACAGGGATTTCCTGGACCTTCTGGAGAGAAAGGCAACAGAGGAAAATGGGTGAAGTATCCTTTACAGTAATGTTTAGATTTTATGGAAACATCTTTCCAAAGTGTAATGCTGTCTGTAATGCCTGTGAGTTGTGTTTAATAGCTGTGTGGTCTCTAATACGATGTGACTCCTGCTGTAAATCAGTGTAGCTCCACTGACTTAAACAGATCTGTGTTCTCTTATCTGGCCTTCCTCTATGACAGATACTATTTATACTTGTACCTGAACTATTTGTGCTCTTTTTATGAATTTAGGGCAGAAAAGGCCTCATAGGAGAACCAGGTGAACGAGGAGAATCTGGTCTAAGAGGAGATCATGTAAGTGTATTCCTTTATTTTTGTGATGTTGCACTGATTTGTGCCTGGATTTTGTGATGGAGACAGCTGAAATTTATGTGATTTGAGGAGTTTTTCACACTTCTAGATAAGCAGTACTCTGCAAGAAACACAGCATATTTCAGGAGTCCTAAACTCTTTAGATGAAGATGGACTGATATGTTTTGATATGTTACTTGGAAGCAGGTGTTTAAGTCTCAGGTCTCCTGTTTGTTCCTTGCATTTTTGGGGTTTTTTGTTTGCTTGTTTTTTTACTGTGGACAACATAACTTCTTTTGGAGCTATTTGCCACAGAATCATAGAGTGGTTTGGGTTGAAAGGGACCTTAAAGATCATCTAGTTCCACAGCCTCTGCCATGGGCAGGGTCACTTCCCACTAGACCAGATGGTTTAATGAAAAGACCAGGTAGACTAGACCTGTCTTCCTGGTGGTTCCCATCCTACAGAGGAATTTGAGATTACTTGAAAACCCTGAGCACTAACTCTTGGTTAGCAAGTTATACTGATGCAAAGGCAAGATACTTCTTCATGCTCATATTTTTTCCTTGCATGCTCCAGAGCCCTATATGAACATACTCGCTGAGGACTGAAATTTCAGTGGAGACACCACACTTCTCAAATCACAACTTTTGTTTTCTCACATATAACTCAAAGAGTTTGTTACAAACATTCAAATGTAGTGTTGACTCCTGACTTCTAATGATTATATTAAAAGAGAACTAAAATCCAGGTATCATGGTAATTTGCCTTTTTGAGAGATCAGGATTTCACCTGTGTCTTGCATTAAGTGGCTAAATGGAACTCCACTGTAGTGTGACACCCATCTGAAACTCACTGACAAGGTATGATCTTAACTCAATTAACTATACCAAATCAACCAGAACATTTTCAGGGTTTAATTTGTTGCCTGTTAGTAATTTTGCCTTTATTCTCTTTGGAAAAGAACATTATGGACTTTGCAGAACTTCCTATATAGTATTCTTACAAACATCTTCATTTAAAATAACCTTTTTATTTCTAATTGTCTGCAATGACAAATCTGATTAATATTATTTGCATATCCTGCCTCTATAATCAAAGCAATAAAGGTGGGATCACTGAAAATGCTGAGCTTTCCATTTAACTTTTCCAGGGAGATCCTGGGGCTAGCAATAATGTTACTGGTCCTAAGGGTGAAAAAGGAAGCCTAGCACCGCAGGTAAGCAAGTAGTTCTATAATTAGAAGAGAGGATTTGCATAATTGCTAAATTGTATTGGCTGTCCAGTGACCAAGCAGCTCTTTTGTTGTTGTTGTTTAGTGGTTTTTGTTTGTTTGTTTGCTTTGTATTTTGCCTTTAGTGTTTGTCTGCAGCATAGAAATCTTTGAGAAGTGCGTGATACAGTATAAAAGAAAAAAATAATTAAAAATGTTTACAAAGACTGTGGAAATATTTTTCTAATACAGAGCTGAGGGAAGATGTGGACTTACTATAAATATATTATTCTACCATAAATTTACATCAGCCACCTGAGAGGCTTCTAGTAACGGGTTATAAGGATACTGTTAAAAATCGTGCTGGTAAAAATGCATTGGGTGTGAACAGTCTATATGCATTTTTCTATGGAACTCCTATTTCTCAGGATGGTGGGTAAACACCATTTTGACCTGTATCAAGAATATAAGAGCTGGATTATGTACTTATATAGCAATGTCTGAGTTTTTAAGAGGTCTTTGAACTATACTGCAAGAAAAGAAACATAACAGAAAAGCCCTGCCCATTTCTCTATTTCACTGTGTTTGGAAAGAATAAGCAAAGGTGGTAAGTAATTGGACAATAGTAAATAAATCATGGTGGATGAAAGCTCAAGAGGGTGAGAACTAGCGACATGTGAGAAAAATCCACTATTTTAGAAGATTAATTCTATTAAGTAGGGGTTTGTGCACATACTGAGACATGTGTGCATATGTCTATGTAGAGTGTGATGGAAGCAGTAGAAAAACTCTGAGGGTTAATTTTTGGAGAAAAATTGTGTTTTGATGACTCACTGGAAGCAAATCTCATCAAACTTTCTCATCTCAAGAAGTCCAACTGAAAAGCTGAAATCAACAAAAATTTTGTTCATTCAAGAAGCCTCGACTGAGTATCAGCTATTAGTAACTGAGGGATTGGAAATACAAAGCAAGCATGATCTGTCTGGTTTATCATTTTGATTGCAAATTATTTGCAGAAATCAGGGGTCAACATTTAGCATGACACAATTTTCATCACACATTGTGATGAAAATACTTAGAAGAAGAAACAAAGAAGTAATGAATAAAGAAGAATGTGCAAGCATTAGAAAGAGTCAAGAGCATTTAAAGAGCTTGGTCATTATTTTGTTTTGCAGGGAGATCCAGGCCCACATGGACTCCAAGGAGAGCAGGGTGATGCTGGCCCTCATGTAAGAATAGTAATCAATATGGGGTGAAGTAACTGTTAACAAACATACAGTGGGATTCCATTGAGAAAACCCCTTTTTTCTCTTCTTCCTGTTATCCCAAACTTCAAACTCCTGCAAGGAGAGGGAACAAAAATCTTCTAAAATTTTCCTAGTGAAACATACTTGGCTTAAAATTTAGTAGCTTGTGTTCATTGAAATGTTTTGTATTCTTTAAGGTCAGAAATGTGCTGTGCTGCTAATTTTAGGTCTGATTCATGTGTCATAAGTCACAAGCCTTAAACTCAATGCAACCTTTTCTATGAGCCTTAATTGCTTTATAATTTCAGTGTAGGTGAATCTTCCTCTTCTTCCTCCCCATGACTACAAGTTTTATGTGCCTGTTCAAGCATATATGTAAATACACTGGCAGCTGAGCTGCTCTTTTTTGTTCACTGGAGACAGGAAATTATGAAGGCACCTCTTCTTGTCTGTCAGAATTGTGCTTGATACCAGAGTCTGGAATGATGATCACTCCTCAGTCAGGCTGCAGAAACATCCTAAAGGCCTCTGGTGATGGGAGGTTGAACAGCAACACTCACTAGTGCTGAGCAGTGGGCAGCAGGAAGTGGTGAAAACCTCTTAACTCAGAGGGAGAGAAGAGGGCTTTTGTTCCATTGATTTTAGCTAAGGGGCAGATGAGTGGGAAGATGTTTTCCAGAATTTTGTTGAAATGTCTTCTCTCTGCACTCACTAAGGATCTAAAGCTTTCTTTCTTTTTTTTGTAAGGCTTACTAGCGTAATAATATCTATCCCAAATCCACTATTTTCTCTTTTTTTTTTTTTCACCTTAAATCTTTCTTTGGAAATAATCTCTACTTTCTATGAGCTACCTTTGATTTGACTGTATATATAATGTACTTTATTATAAGCTATTGTTTCACATGTTGCTCAGTGTTCTGGATGTAATCTCTCATGCCACTCCTTCCTAGGGTGCAGCAGGTCGAAGAGGCCCTCCAGGTATAAAGGTGAGTGGCTGATGCTGCTGCTGCCTATCTATACACAGCTACATGTCCAGCCTCAGTCCTTGCTCCTCTTAAAGGAAAAGTTTCATTTTGATCCAAGACACAAGTGCTTAAAAATCAAAAGTCTATTTCAAGACAAGGCAGCCTTTGGATCTCAGGTGGATGTGCCAGAGGCCATCCTGACTTGAAGGATTTAGAATTGGAAAAGAGTTTTCATCAAAATAAGAGGACAGTTACTTTTATTATTAGGTCAAATGTGGGAATGTAAGTTGAGAAAAGACTCACTAAAGATGACAGGAATGTGTAGTCAGGCTGCAAAGTCTGACAATGTATTCCTCCTTTGCTGCATGGACACAGATATTTGCATGATGCACACATGCAGCACAGATAAAATCAAGGCAATGATGCTTTGCTAAAAATAGATGTAACAGTGTTAGCTGGAGCTCTGAAAATTGGCTTATAGCATATAAGGTTTTGGAAATAATTTAGATGGTAGCCCTGGTTTTTCCTAGATCTGTACCCCATAGAGTCTGGACCTCAAGAAACTTTCCTGAGAGGTACTTGGTAAAGACATCACTGCCATTCTCATAGGTGATGACTCAGGTAATGTTCTTGGAAAAGAAAACTTGTTTGTCTCTGGATATAAGTTACAAAATACAGTTATCAAAGCACATCTAAAAGCAGCTATATTCAAGAGTGGGTTAGTGCAAGTAAAAATTAAATGCTAGGAATTCTCAAGTATAGATTATATGATAATTCCAGGGCTTTAGCACAAGTGATTCACATTTGACTCAGTCTCTCTGCAGAGTTTCTGACACAGATAAGGGAGATGATATATGCCTTGGTGTAGCATTTCCCTTCTATCTAAGTGCATATAAACCCAGGGAAACATTACAATTTCGTGTACAACACTGTCAGACCAGCAGGATGGAATATGTCTCAAAATCCTGCCTTGTGTTGGAGTCTCTAGAGAATGGGCAGAATTGTAGCTTCTGAATAAATGTACAAACCAGCATTTTGAGTAGAGTTTGTTCTATGCAACTCTTCATTCACAAACATGGTCAGGGCAAAATTTGGACCAGCTTTACCCCATCTCTTCTTTCCAAGTCATATTCATACAATACCAGTGCAGGCGTAGGATCAAAGAGGAGACAGGATGAAGCGCAGACACCCAAGTAGCAGACACCCAGTACCTCTTTCAAAGTCCTTGCCAAAGCCCCTTTTCTTTTATCCAGGTTCACAATATGAAGTGTTTTGGCCTGTACAAAACATGCTGTTAGAGGACACCCAGCAAAAGTTTGATAAGTTTGCTCAATTTCTCATGTCTTTAATTGTGGATGCAGTATGTAAATTGATGTTCTTCCCATGTTCTTAATTTGGCAAAAGGTTAATGATTTTTCACAAAACTTCTGCATGGATTGAGAGGGCTGGTGTTTGTTTGGTTTTTTTTTTTTTTGCAACAGCAACAAGCATTTAAAGTGAAAACCAAGTGTGAAATGTTAATAAATAACAGTGAGAATAACCACAGCGATGCAATATAGAACATAAATTTCAGCAAAGGAAAAAGACTACTGGGACGACATAGTGACTTTTATGGCAGTAATATTTCTTCAGCAGCACAGTGTTTGATTTGCCTCTGATTTCTGGGCTTCCTGTCTCTCTCCTGTTAAGAGTAGCAGTTTTGCTGTACCTTTATTTCTCTCTTCCTGTGTACTGCAGCCAGGTAACACAGGTTTTTTTACATTTAAAGGGATTCAAATTAGTATTTCATTGGGAAATGACAATCAGAAGTGAGAGTCCTGTAAGTTCCCTATACTACAGTCCAGTCACATTCCAGCTTTTTGCAATACACAAGCATGCCTTGTGCAAAAACCCTTGTCCCCACCTGGTTTCTCAAAGTCATGACTTAGATTTCACCTTGAGAATCCAGAATTTTCACTGTCCGGGGTATTGCAGGTAGGAATAGGCTGGAATATTCTGATACTATCTACCAGTAGGGAAAAAGCACCAAGCTATGGCTACAGGGATCAGAATAACTTGAAAGAATAATGGCCGAGTCTTCGCGAGCGAAGATCCGGGGAAGGTCTTTCCACCTTCCAGCCTGCGCATTGGATTTTTTAGGTGAGACACAGTGTGCGCGGAACTGAGCCCACCCTTTAATCCTAAGGTTCATCTGCCGGGGCCAAGCGAGCTTGAACGGTGGCAGCGAGGTCCTTAGGACGTAGGTGGGTTGCCTTTAAGGGCTAACGAGCCCCACCTGCCCGGGAGTGGCCCTGACCGGGAATCGAATCCGGGTCTCCGCAGTGATAGCGCGGCGCCCTTAACCACTAGACCACCAGGGGCTCCACTTGAAAGAATATGAGCATTTTATACTTCCTGTTTCTTATTTCTATCTCAGAAATTATTTATAGGGTTTATGAAGACATTTTAGATTAAAATATTGAAGAATATTTGTCAAGCAGAGAGGATTGCACACTTCTGTCTTCCACATCTCCTGGAGAAACTAGAAGGAACAGTAACCCTGCAATATGACAGTGGCATCCATTCTTATGTTAAAAAACCATAAAGAAGCACAGCTAGCCATTCTTAGCAGTCAGAAGTAGTCAACGGGCAGAAGGAACAGAAGGTGTGGTGAAGTGTCAGAGAGGTATTTGTCACAGACAAGAAGAACATGCAGTCTGTGCGCTGAAAACAAAGCAAAATATTGAAGGTGGAAGGGAGAATAAACTAAAGGAAGGCACGAAAAAGTCGGGGGGAAGAAAAAAGAAAAACCACTTTTCTGGGTTTGATTGAAAGTAAATTTAAGTAGCTGAAAACTTTCTGTTTGTTTTGGATTCCAGTAGAGTGTACCTAAGAAATTTGTCCATCTTCATTAGAGTCAAAACAATTTTTGTGGAAATCTTTTTCTATTTGATTTTTTTACATCTGGTAATAATATATATGTACTGATGTTCCATTTTACATTATTGTTACAAATGAATTTTGGTGGGTTTTTTTTGTTTGTTTGTGGTTTTTTTGTTTTGTTTTTTTTTTTTTTTTTTGCTTTGGCTTTTATTTATTTTTTTTCCCTCCTGTTGTTATCTTTCATTTTGTTCATGTGGTGGAGAATGGAAGTTCAGGCTTTTAAATGCAGTTTTCCTCAGGAGATTCTTTCCAAAACCATCTGTTTCCCAAGAATCTTCAGACATATATTTATGATTTCTTCAGTGAAAGGGGATCTGCAAGGCCTGAAATATCTTGGTGCTAGTTGTCACCATTTTACTCAATCCAGCAGACAGTGAATTTCTTATAGATGTCAGCTAAACTGACTCATCCTCAGATGGCAGCTTTATATGGACATGGGAGCCGAAAAAGTTTTTTATCCATGATGCAGTATTTGACTTACCTCACTGGATAACCAGAGTGAAAGATGTGGAGTATAAAAACCTCTAATTCTAGTAGGATTATGAAGTCATGATTCCCCCTCAGAGTCATTCTTCATGGGTAAGGGGGAAGAGGACCTGCCCTTGTGGTCCTGGCTTTATGGCTTCTCGTGGTTTTTGTAGGGGTCAAGGACAAGGGTAATGTGGGAATATTGCTGAGACCTGGTGTAAAATGTATTCAGGAAAATGCAAAGCAAATAGAACTGACCTCTTGTACTGCAACTTTTATAATCATCACACACCCTAAACAACAAGAAAAAAGCTACTCAAGTCTTTTACTTTCTGACTGAGTTTCTTCAACAGGATTCTGAAGCTGCTTGAGAGCTGCTTGGGAGCACTGAAAAAACATTTTATCATCTATATACGGATGACAGGTGCTAATTTATTTGGGTTTGTTGTTGATTTCTTGGGTTTTGTTCTGGCAGGGTGAGCAAGGAGATCTGGGAGAAGCAGGTTACCCAGGAGAGACTGGTCTTCCAGGCCCACAGGTAACTAATAAAACTTCAGTTTTTATTTTAGCTGTGGAGAAGATGAATGGTCAGTCTTGGTCTTTTGTTTTTCTTTTGGAAAGCTTGGTTAACTTCAGCTTATGAATATTATGAGTAAGTTTCTTCATTGGCAAATCTCTTCTGTAACCCTGAGGAATTAAATGTGACAAATTATGTGGGTGCAGCTTCTGGTGAAATTAAAAGAGGAAAATGAATGGCAAAAGTAAGTAATTTAGCCAACACATCTACAACTTAAAGGATTTTATCAAGCAGATAGCTTCAAAGTTAATTCATTAGAAATTGCATAAAATCTATTGCATTGACAAAACCAATGTGAAAAGCTTTGCGTTTTAAAACTTTGCTAGGTGAAGTCATTTTGAAGACAATTATCATGGTAGACTGCTTATAGTGGCTTCCAGTTTTAAGATGCTCTTAGATCCTCTAAAGATGCTTTTAACTTTGTTGTTTTAGGATCAGGAGAAAGTATGCCTAGTTCATAGTGGGCTGCTTATGGCTCCCTTGGTATCTTAGACACCTCAGTGAATCTCAGGCTGTTGGGCAGTGACCATCTCAGCTGCTTCACACAGACAAATCCCTATAACCAAACGGCCAGAAGTTTCACCTGTGCATTAAGGCTCACAAAACAGTCACTTGTATTCTTATCGTTGCAGGAATCTGATCTTTATTGAAAGACTGTCAACACTGAACTGGCTTTTTTTCTTTTTTTTCAATGGCTTTTTTTACATCAGGGCCCAAGAGGACCACAAGGGATCAGAGGACCTCCAGGACCACAAGGCATGCCAGGCCCTCTGGTTAGCTTTAAATAATACATTCCTACTGTATGCTTTAGAGCTTTTCACTCTGAGTGTTATTCAGATATTATTCTTATAAAGAGTTTTTTAAAAAAAGCTTATAGAAAGTAGAAACTGAGGGGTTTTCACTGTAGTACTTAAATGATTTGCAACCTCATATGATAAAATAACAGCCTTGAAAATAAGTTTAGGTGGGTGAATAGGAATTGAATGTCAGTGTTACATATGATTGCACTGAGAAGCCTTAACTCTGGGTTCTACTCTCAGTTGTCTAGTATCAGGACTAAGAGCGTGGCTTGCAGCATGTTTAAATACAGATGTACAGTGGAGTAGTTGAGATCAAAGTTATATAATTATCAGTAGTTTCATTATGGCCTGTGAGATTTAATGCTGAAGTCCAATCAGGCTGTAACGTTTGAGCACTGTCTCCTTATCTCCGCCCCTGTGTGATGCTGTTGATTTTGGGGGTTCTTGTTCTGGAACTATGTCAGTGTAAATCAGGACTGGAATGTCCTATGCTGTCAGCCTTGGTCATCTGCTTCAGTCATGTAATAATGTTCATGGTTACACACCCAATTATGTGCGTGTGTTCATGGTTTTGTGCACATGTGCATGTTTTGATTAGGTATCTATGTAAGCAGAAAATAACATTCATGTCATACTTAAAAGCATTTTGAAGTTTATACAGCAGTAGTACAGAAGACAGGAAAGAAATGGAATGATAGCTTGACCAGTAACTCTTACTTTGGTCCTCAAAAACCTGTAAATGCACTAATATTTATACTGACTCTGTAATAATTTCAAGTGGGAATGAATACTTGAGTGCAGTGAGGCCTTGATTTCTTCACTGTACACCTTTTAACTGATACTTCTTATTACAGGGTAGTCTGGGGCCCCCAGGTTCACCTGGCTCTGTTGGAAAGTTAGGTGCAAGAGGAGCAAAGGTAAAGATTTTTAAGGTATCTAATTGCAGCAATATAACAGTATCATGCATTCAAGAATCTGACTGAAGAAGCATATTCTAACACTTTGTTAGTCCTGTGAATCATGTAGAATGTTAAGATCTGTAGACATTTTTAGACTGCATGAGGAGACAAGTGATATGTTCAAGGTAATCGTACAGATGTCAGAGCTATAATAAGAAGTTTTTAGTTTTCCCATAACCGCTATTGTAAGTGCTGTTGTGGTAATGGTTCTCAGTGGGGCCTGTTTTTTTGCAACATGCAGCAGTGCTGACCTGACCATGAGGCTCATTTTAGAATTCCTAGAATCTATCCAATCCATTCAAAATACGTTCCAGTGAATTACAGAATATCTCAAGTTGGGAGGGACCCATGAGGATCATCAGGTCCAATTCCCTACTCCTCACAGGACAACTAAACCACATGACAAAGTGCGTCATCCAGACACCTCTTGAACTCTGACAGGCTTGGTTCCATGACCACTTCCCTGAGAAACTTGTTCCAGTGATCGACCACTCTCTTTGAGAAGAACTTATTTCTAATGTCCAATCTGACCTTACCAGCTCAAAGAAGCATAGCTGCTTATTTTCACCTTGTTTTGCTAAAAATTCCTAACAAGTCCAAGGAGCCTTGACTGTTATGATGTCTGTCATAGAGGAATGAATATGTTGAGAACAATTAAATCAATATGAAGTTTAACAGAAAGACTTATACTAATAGATGGTCTACACTGGAGTTCAGTTATAATAAATATTATCCCTTACTTTCATTTATGTTGATATGGGAGACTAACTTTATTTGATAAAAGTAACTCATTTTAGTTGGTTTTGAATCTTTGAATGTAAAAGTCATGCCATACCAGTGAGCTAAACCTTCCAGTGAGCTAAACTTTGAAGGTTTGTTACATTCAGTGACAGAGAGGTGTCGAAGGTCAAAGTGTTACTACCAAAATAGTCACTGTGTGAAAACATGCAGTGAAACAGTGACAAAAATTTGGAAAATATTTAGGAATTGTCATCATACATTCTATTTTCTATGTTTGATATTTTTGCTATTTAATATTGGGGTCATTGTTAGAAGAAAGTTCGATTGGAAAGTGGAAACAAAAAAGGAACTGAGGAAAAGAAACCCTGTGAGAGGACTAAGAGCATAGTGCAGACAGCCTACCTGAGAAATATCATCTGCTATCAACTGGTGGTTTGGGCTGGTAGAATTCCAGGATATATCCTACTACTGCTATAATGTCAACTTTTCCAGACCCCACTTTTTTCACTGATATTACCATATAACAATGGGAGTTTTATTGAATAAAGGCCTTTGGAGTTTAGCTGCATGAATGCTCAGCATATTCTGATTTGCCAAGTTATTTCCAGTTCCACCATAAGGAACATTCTATGAAACATGACCTGTAGTGGAATGCTTTTGCCCAGCATGAACTAGTCTATAAAATGTATAGGCGCACTTCAGTCTAACAGACAACTTTGCATTTCAGAAAGAAGAATTCTCCTGAATGAGTCCAATTAACAGCTTCTGTGTTTCAATTATAACAGGGTGAACCTGGTGACCCTGGAGAGAAGGGCCCAGTTGGACCACCTGGACAGAGAGGCATCCCTGTGAGTCCTTCTCCCCTAATTCAGAGCCCCTGTAGTTTAATACCAATCCAACTGAAATACTGCAGTTCATTCCCTTCTATTTTCTCTGATACAATTAAAATTATTTCACATTTGGTTCTCAATTTCCTTATGGACACCAGATTCCTTTTGGGCTAGAGGGAATATCTTTCACATCAAATTCTCCAGAGAAAAGAATATGCTAAAGGTAGGGCATACAGTGGAAAGAAACTGTGGCCTTAATCCTTGTTTTCTCTCTATGGCTTTTACCACCATCTGCTGCTGGTTTTAGACTGTATTGTGAGAGCTTGCTGTAATTCATTAATCTTAACAGCCTGAGCACCTCATTGTAACGGGACATCTTTATTTCAAAGTCAAACTGGATATGAATCTAATCCTCTACTAAAATCTAACTCATGGTATGTCCAACCTATGCAGGGTGTGGATGGAAGAGATGCCTATGGTCCTGAAGGAAGCAAAGGAGCAAAGGTGAGTGCTTCAAGTCAGAATGTCTCTGTCTTTTCTGCAGGATCAAATGGAACATCCATATTGTAATAAAAAAAAATGTAAGATGTGATCACACTGTGTTTCTGAGGTTTAGTAAGAGGTCAGGATTCCCACAGTCCTTGTGAGAAATTCTTCAACTGGATATTCTTTTGAGGACTCCTCTCTCTTTCCCTTGTTGTGGGTATATGGATATGAAGGATTGTACTTCTTGGAGCAGACAGGGCTTTTTGCCCACTTCAGTCTTCTTGGCAAATATTGGTGATCCAGCCACTTGGGGCTCCTCTCATTTTTCTTCTTTCAGTGGAGGGATTCCTTGACTACCAAGGAATACTGAGGTGATATCCTTACTGTTTTAATGTGAAATATTCTTCCTTGTACTCCTATGGTCAGCAATAAGATCTGGGGATCAACCTCTGGATTACTAAGAAACCCTTATAATTCCCTTCATAGTGCTGAATAAAAAAAGCAATTAATTTCTCACTTACTTCTTTAAAAACATAAAAGAATCCAGCTAAAATAAAAAGTATACAGAAATGAAGAGGTCAAAATCATGGCACCAGTGCCACCAATGGGTCAGTCTGTGAGCAAAAGGGTCAGGATGCTGTAGAAAGCTGCAGTCCTCCTTTCACGGAATTTGTCTAGTGTTGCAATACTAGTCCTTTGTTGTTGCTTGTGAAACAGAAGTGGTCCAGTGGATCTCACTGATAGGCCTGTCTCTCACTGTTCCTTTCTGTGGGAGAAGCAGAGTGTTGTAGGAACCTGCAGAAAACATATGAGAGGCTTCCGAGAGCCTCTCCAACCGATGAGCTCCTTTTGCTAAAGTGGCTCTTGATGCTTCTTATTTTCCAATTTCTTTTCTCACCTTCTTAGCTCCAACAATTTCTTTTCATGGGGGTGTTTCATAGGTTATGCACACATTGTACGCAAAAGTAGTTCTTTTAATCTCTTGGAATCTCCCACTTGTTCACTTCAGGGAACATCCTCCATGTTAGAAGAAATGAGGAAAAAAGTTTCTGCTAAATCTTCTTGTCGATTATTCATTGTTTTAAAGGACTAACTTAAAGCCTTTCTTATACACTGATGTGTCTGCCCAGGTTTTGGCAGGGCCCGGATTAAAGCAATTAATAAAAATAACCAAAAACCAATGTACCCCAGAATAGTGATTCAGAAAGAGTGTTTTTTCCGTGATAGCTGAGAAAGTAACCTTTAGTGTAAATTTTACTTAAGGTTGCTATTAATTATACAGGTTCACAGTCACACTGCACTCTCTTACATGTAATGTGGGGTGTATGTGCATGGAATTTTCTGAAAATTGTTGGATAAAGTCATATGATGTTTTACAACCATGTCCACTTCCATGGGAGGGAACTCTTAGAACAATGGCATACGTAAATAGAGTGAATTCTGATGTTAAGGAAAGAGGTACTTCACTTCTGACTGATTTATGTGAGAGTTTCCATATTTCTCGTACATGAGCAAAGAGCACACCAGAAACTGAAGTAACTGAAAACAATTAATGAATTGACTTCTGATATGCCAACAAAATATTATGGTATCATTGTTTAGTAAGGAGGGTACAACATTTTGAAACGTCATTCAAAGACTGAATTCTGAATATTACAATTTACTCATAGTCACTGTACATGAATTCCACTGTATATTACTAGGACGCATAAATAAGTGTTGATAAAACACATATTTGAGAAACTGAGAACTCTTGAAAATCCAGAAACTGTTGTAAATTTTTTAAACACTCTTCCTTTAGATGAGCAGGGTGTTCATATAAAATGGTTTCATTTGGGACCAGAGTAGTAGCCACAGTTTCCTGAATGGGCTGGAATGCTAAGAATAATTTTTAAATTGTTTTTGGTTTAAAGACATCAAACACTAAGCAGATCAAAAAGTTCTAGATTCTTAAGAAGTCTTTATCCTTTCTTTTTGTAGGGAGAATCTGGGTTCATAGGATATCCTGGTCCAGAGGTATGATTAAATGGCATGTTTCCTTTCTTTATGTCTTGTTTTACATTTTTCTACATGGAAGTTTTTGTCAGTCTTTCTGTCTGTCTTCTCCTTTTCTATAGAGTTCTGAATTTCATTAATTTTCAGGGAGAAGATGGAGACCCGGGCAGTCCAGGAGCTGAGGGACCCAAAGGAGTTAGGGGTAGAAGAGTAAGAATGACAATTCTGCTAACTCTGTGAAGAGTTCTATAAATAAAACCCTTATGTCCCAGGTGTTTTCTCACCAAAAAAAATTTAAATTGGTTCCCACCCTGATCTTTTAGTGCCATATCTTGTGCAAGAGGTCTTGAGAGAATGCAGATCTGAGTCTTCAGAGATGCTAGTTGCTAATGATTCTTAATAGTAGTAGTCTATGTAAGTGCAGGATCCAACTCACAATATGGTTATAGAGGGTTTTTTTCCCCTTATGAAATTTGGCACCTATGTGTGCAATTCCAAAGAATAAAATTTGTATTCCTATATTTAGGGTAATGCTGGCACACCAGGTTCCCTGGGAGATCCAGGAGATCAAGGACCATCAGGACCTATGGTAATATATTTTTATTTAAAAAAAAATCGCTCTTAGATTGATCTTAGACTTACTGTTAGAATAATGGAATGTTTAATTATGTTTCATATGCTTAATTGCCTGGCAGTTGTATAGAGTTATGTCTTTCCTGTGGATGTGCATGCACAGGAGCACCTGCTGTTGGAAATGGAGTGCAACAATACAGTGCAGGACAGAATTTCATCCACAGTATTTGGTTTTGTCTTTATGCTGGGTAAATATCTAATTAAATAAGCAGAGAGTGCTAAAATATAGAACTGGCTTGATCTGCTGAAAGCCAGTGTATTTTTTTCATTTCAAAAGAAAAACCATTTAAAATCAGACTTGCACTTAAAGCTTATATTGATTGTAACATGTTAATTTTACAATTAATATACAAATAGATGCCTTGATGTACTTTTCCATTGTCTGTGTTCTGCATTTTGTACAACAAAATGTTTTATTTTTATTTAAGCAGAGGAAAGGATTGTGGATTTCAGTAGGATTTAGGACTAGCCTTGTAGGTAGCTAGGAAAATCCCTGTAGGTGTCTATCCTTATCCTGCAACAATGCTGAAAATCAACTCCACAGTGACCAGAAAAAATCCCTACTGTTAATGATTTTCTTGTTAAACTTTCTTAAGCTTACTCTTAGTTTAAATGTGGAACATTATTGATAGCAGTATCTTTACCTGTATAACATGTCCCATGGGATGTGTGCAGCTTACAAAACTTTTTGCTTTGCTTCTCATTACACTGTGCTGGTCAATGAATGTACCTGTCCCACTTTATTTTATGATGCTGGGCACAAGAGTGGCTAAGAATGCATTGCCCTCCCAGCTGCTTGGCCACTTACACGTTACAGGTAGGTATTTCAAGCTAAAGATCTCCTCCTCAAATGTAGAAATGAGAGTAGAGCTTGGGATATATGGGCTTGGTGGGATTATTACAGTAGGTGGGCATCAGTGAAATGAGAAAGTGGGAAGTCTGTGGGAAGTGGTAGTGATGCAGGAAGAGGCACAGGTAGTAGGCAGGGCCAACCAAAACAGACCTGTCTTACCCATCCTTTCTACTTGGTGACATACTTGTCTGTATGTGTCAAGTCTGCACAACTCAGTCACCACCACTGAGCTGCTGCAAGTAGCACTGATGAGAAATCTCAAGCTCCTTGGAAAAAAAAAAAAGTTCCTTTGCCTGTGTTTTATTCTTGTTATGAAGATTAAACAATACTTTTATTTTGAAAAAAGATGCTTCAGGTGCTAGCACTTTCCCACAGTTCCCAAAGAGAAGGATGCAGAGTAGGTTGAGCTATCACGATGTGGGTGTGTTCTGCAGAGTCTTTTGAGGTAGAACTGTGGGGATTTTACCCTGCAAGAGTAGAGGGCAAGCTTGTCACACATCAGATGTTGGAAATTGTGTAACCGAACATAGCACAGAAACTGCTGTTTATAAAGGAAATCCAATTCTGAATTATACTGATCCTCAAGGGCAACAAGTGCTGAACATTTAAAAATCATTAATGAAAATGGACTGAGAAGTAGTCTGCAATTCTGGAACAGGTCCACAGAAATCTATGCTGGGAACAGATGTCTCCTCATATTTCAAATTCATAAGTGGTCGTTGGGAAACACTGTATGCCTTCATTTTCTTTGGGCTACAGAGTAATAGATGGAAATACATTATCAGGGTCTGACTTTCTGGACCTGTGTTTATTTTGTTTCAGGGTGCCAAGGGACCAGTGGGCACCATTTTAATGGAAGTAAGTAATCACCTTACAGCTAATTGCACACTGCATGAAATTATCTGTTTTAGTCTTCCATTTATAAGCACTGACAGCAGTGCACAGAATTAGCTGTTATAAAACAGTAACTTTTCACGTGCTTGACGGAGTGCAGTTGGTTCATCTGTTCTGCAGATGATCAAGGAAAGAGAAACAATTATGCCTATGGATTAACACCATGTCCAAACTTTTAAAAATTGTTGGACCATTAATATTCATTTACCCATGTCTTTACTCACATCAGTTTACACACTAGCTTAGGTTTAGGGTTAACTTTTCCCTCTCTTGTAAAGGAAGGCATTTCTTCACAAACAGTTATTTTCACTGGGAATAGAAGTGCAGGATTTCTTCACAATCCTAATCCCAAGTAAAATGAGCACTTATGAGCAAAGGCTCCATCTAACCCTTGCATGGATGACTGCCTACAGGCAATACTACTGCAGGTGTGTTTCTTGTCCACAGGAGGTCTTTTCCTCCTTCATGGACCTCTCTTCCTATGTGAGTTCCTATTGAAATGTCCATTCTTTTATGGAAGTGCCATTGACCAGTGACATCCTCTAGGATGTTTATTAACACAAAATAAGGAATGGATAAATGGTTTCTTAGTGAACATCATAAACACCAACAGAGCAGGTCTAGAAAAACGTGCCTAGTTTCTGCAGCAAGAGAGAGAGTCCTTGTACTGTCTGAAATAAGGAGGAACTGGATTGTGTGAATCTGGATTTACTGTAATGAGAGTTAGTTCAGGAACTGGGATATGACCTTCAGCTCAAACACCAGTAAGATTCCCAGTCTGGGATGTTATGGGATTTGCCATTAATTCCTTTTTTATTTTGAACCTGCAGCCTTGTGAACTCGTGAATTTTACAAGAAGAAACTGCCGTAAGTAGGAAGCATCTTATTTTACCTCTGATGCCTAGTCACTCTTCTTAAATGGATTAACCTCCACTGGAAACCCTGTAAATTGGTAGTTTGTGTCTGGGATCAGTTAGACTGGTAGTTGTGAGTTGTGAGGGGTTTGCAGCAGGTGTATGAAGCAGATTTGCTCTTTTTGCTCCTTTTCTAGTCTGTTAATTACAGAACCCATAACAAATATCTCTAACTCATTAAAGACTAAATTAATTCTTTGGCATTGTGCCAACACCCTTTGGGGAGTTCTCTGAGAGAAGACAATACTTGTATATGCACTATCCTCCAGTTTAGGTGTGTTCATTCTCTCTCAGACATGCGTGCTCAGCAGAACCCAGAACAATTTTTTTACTTCTCATCCAGTAAAAGTGCACTGTTTTGAGTATCTGATTATGGAAGAGGAGTCTTGTCTTGCACTGACAGGTTCTATCAGTTGTCTGAGCTTTGAATCAGGCTTTTTAGTGAAAGCAAGTAAATATATTAATGAATATGAGCCCCAAATAATTTATTTGCTCTCCCTCTCTTCCTTCCAGCTTGCTCATCAGGTAAGTCCATCTGGCCTCTGCGTATCTGTTCTTTTATAGACTCGAAAAAAAAACAACAACGTTTGAGCTGTGGAAAGGTTCTCACACAAATTTTCTGCTTCAACATACAGACACATGTCCAGCTTACCCAACTGAGGTGGTGTTTGCCTTCGATATGTCTGACGGTGTTACACCAGTTGCATTTGAAAGAATGAGGAACATTGTCACACTGTTGCTGAAGACCATTAAGATCAGTGAAAGCAATTGCCCAACAGGCGCTCGTGTCTCTGTTGTTTCTTTCAACACCAATATGCGCTATCTCATCCGATTCTCGGAATTCCAGAAAAGCAGCTTGCTGCAACAAGCAGTCCAGAGGATACCTCTGGAGAGATCCACTGGAAAGCGAAATATTGGGGCAGCCATGAGATTTGTTGCGAGAAATGTCTTCAAACGTGTTCGTCAGGGCATCCTCACAAGAAAAGTAGCCCTATTTTTTGCCAATGGTCCATCTCAGGATGATGTTGCCATCAACACAGCTGTGCTTGAGTTGAGTGCCTTGGATATCACTCCAGTGGTTATTGCCTTCAGTGAAGTGCCAAATGTCAGACGTGCCTTCTCGGTAAGTAGTTAGATGATAGGAAATTGAGTCAGTCACCCATTTACTCAGTGTCTGCTATTGTTTGAGTAAATCGTGCTCTCAGTCCAGTAAGTTCTATAGGAACTGTCTAATCCTTTATTAGAAAGGTGTACATTAAAGGTTATTACTTTAACGAAGAAACAGTGATTCACTTGACCATAATGGTCATCATCTGACCTCTTTCTGCACGTGAATTATTAATTACTTTTGCTTTTAGGCTTAATCACAGAATTTCCATAACATTGTATTAATTTCACTTAGTTACCTTTGCCATTACTCTTCTGAAGATGTGACATGTACTGACCATTTAAACAAGAAACTGTGGTCCTAGTTTCTAGAAAAAGTAGTAGAACTCTTCAGGTACACCAGGGTTTTTTCAAAAGAAAATTAAATTAAGCAAAGCCCCTTTTGATGTCTGTATTGCCGTTAGCAAAAGAGAAAATTATGAAATTTTGTTTTAAAATATGACTTCCTATAAAAGATAGTAAACAAAAATAACCAGTCCATTTTTCAAGGTACAAAAGGAAAAAACTTCCAAGTTTATTCAAGGTTTCATAACATAGATTCTGTGGTCTTTGTATTTCCAAATAGTTTTGTCATCTGTTCTCAGTTTTAAATTTTTCAAAATAAAATTCTTTCAATCTGCTGTTTCTTCAAAATTGTCCCTCCAAAAGCAAACATGTTCACTTACGCATGACAAAAAGTGCAAAACTTGGAGTCTGTTCTGATCTAGTAGCCATTTAATCTTATTATATTTATTCTCATGCAGCCTCATATCTGTTAGTCACTTCACGTATTTTTCTGGCTGAATGTTTATTTAGCAGAATGAAAAAATTCTGCTGACATGTGAGAAGGAAGCTTACAGTTTACTTGCTGAGTTGCTCCACAGGATAAACAGGAGCAAGCACCAGTATTTTGTTTGCTTAGTATAAGCAGGTTACAAATCTGAATGTGTGTGATGATATATGGTGTTTACAAAAGTACCAGTTGTCCATAAATCAATCTTCAGAGTAGAGAAGTTTAAAAGAGCTGCTTAACGAGGGGGAAAGGCAAAAAATTCATGGCACCAGCTCTCCTTTATGTTTACAATGGTGGGAAGACAACCAACCTCACCACCACCTACCAAGTAAATACAACCTCCCTTTTTCTTTCAAATGGACTCCTACCCTTGCAGTTGAGAAGTGGTTTAATCTTTATGATCCTACCACCCTGTAGCCACAGATACTTACTGCCTTTGGTTACTTGGTTTTAGGAGTTTCAGTTTAGAGATCATTCAAACATTGCCAATTCTAATTCCTTTGTAGAGTTCATCTATAATATTCTTGACAGACATTAATTAGAATTTAATTGTGTAGTTTAAGCTTGAGTTTAATGCGAAGCAGTAATTATTTCTTTACTCACCGTTATAGCTTATCCATATATATTGTTCATTTCCTGCAATACTATATATTTTACAGACATTTTGATTTACCTTTGTCCACAAGGAAATGCTCTTTCCCTTGAATCACATTTGGATGGGGTTGGGTGATCAGTGAAATTGTAGGTTGTTGTTGGAGCTTCTTCAGACTTCTTCAAGCATTTCTATGGTCAAATCTTCTACTGAGGAAGATTGTCTTTCTTCAGCTGATCACAGGCAACTTATACGTTGTTCTAATGCTAAAATCTTCTCTCCCAAGAAAACGTCTTCACTCTTTGTTCCAGACATAGGAAATCCTACCCTTTTCTCTGTTGAAAAACAGCACCCTATTAAGAAAAGAAAAAAATCTAAATGTATTTTACCTGTCTTTTAAATGTTACTTTTGTGTCTACTTTAAAATACAGATTGATGACACTAGAAGATTTCAGTTATTTGTTTGGGAAAGACAACAGGATGAAAGTTTGGAGGACATCACATATTGTACACTTTGTTTTGGTAAGACATTTTACAAATTCCATCGGTTGTATTGGTCTATTTAGCCTTTCAATAACAAATTCTATCATATTTATTTTGCAGTGTGGTGTTGGGGAATTTTTATGGTACACCTTAAACATGTTTGTGCTTAAATATAAATGAAAAATATTATTAAACAATGCACTGGGCAGAATCCTACTGCCATAAATGGCTCTACAAGGAGTTTGCAAAAATGTGTTAAGAGCTGATTCCTTATATATACTTGCACCAGCACCAATCCCATGAGTGGGTGCATGGAGCAACTCGGCCCAGCTTGGCTGTCCATAGGTGACCCTCAGTGCTCCCATTCCAAGGTGGCTACAAGACAGTGCTGCAGCTGTTTCTTGACATCACCAAGATAAACTTCACTCCATTACAGGGATTTTTTTCTGTCTCTGACATTCCTACTTCCAACCAGCTTAACCCCTTCTGCAAATGGGCCTTCTTGCCCCCTGTGACAGATCATTTCTTGATTACAGACTGTCATTGCTGAGGAGTTAAAATTTTAATTTCCTCTTCAGTGGATGGTAAGAATTAGACTTTCAAAACCACAAAAACTGTTTAATTACTTTCTGTCTCAGCCATGTGAAATGAATTTCTCTGTTTAGCATTTCCTTTTTTAACAGAAATGAACTTAAAATAGCATTATGATTCTGGGAAACCAGTCTTATCTGCTGAGGATTCTATGCTGTAAGGGGAGGAGATGCTACTAAATGATAATATTTCAGAATGTTGAATAGTGATCTGAGATGAAAAATACAGTTTGTTTCTGTGTCCTTTACAATGTTTATATTTCAACAGAAGAAAATTTCTCAAGGGAACTCTTATCTGTGAAGTTTTACCTTATGAATGTTTTTTTGCTCTCATGCTTGAATAATTTCCCATGGTATCTCAAAACCTCCTTCAGCAAGACTTGTCTGCTGATCTTTACTAGAACAAAAAGATTTCAAATTCCCAGATTATTTTTTTTTAATCAAAATTTAAGAAAAATAAAATAATAGAGGACTGTGTGATTTTTTTTCCTAAACTCTTGCTTTTGTTGTATTGTTAAATAGTGTGCTCTTGGCTCTTCCTCTCTAGATAAATGCAAACCAAGAGCCAACTGTGAGGTGCCCTTTTCTCCCCCAGTTCTCATGGACATGGATATCACTTACATCATGGACAGCTCTCACAGCGTCAGCCGTGAAGAGTTTCAGAGAGCCAAAGACTTTGTGAGCAACATGCTGGATCAGTTTGTTGTTTCCTCACAGCCAAACGAATCATACGGAGGCATCAGAGTGGCACTGGTGCAGCAAGCTCCTAGGGGCTTCCTTCCTGACAGAAACCAGACACCTGTGGCCTTGGAGTTTGATCTAGTTACATACAGCAATAAAGATTCGATGAAGAAACACATCCAAGAGTCTGTTCACCAACTGGAAGGGCCATCAGCCATTGCCTCTGCTCTACAGTGGACAGTCGAAAACGTATTCTTTAAAGCCCCCAGACAAAGGAAACACAGGGTCATATTTACAATAGTTGGAAGCAAAACAAGCACGTGGGACAGAGAGAGGCTGAAAGAGATTTCACTCGGAGCCAAGTGCCAAGGATTCACCTTGTTCACTCTTGCACTGGGCAGTGATGTGAGTGACAATGAGCTGATGGAGCTGCCAAGCTCCCCCACAGAGCAGCACTTGCTGACACTGGGCAGGGTTTCCACAGCGGAGATGGTGTACGCTCAGAGGTTTAGCCGGGCATTTCTAAATCTTCTACAACGTAAGTATCACGCAACGGCATTTGCTGAAGGTATGGAAAGAAAGAGAAATGTTGTGTATAAAAAGGTAGTCAGCATATATGTGCTACCATTCCTAGTCATAACTGCCAATCTTTCACCTTTAGTTTGCCTCAGATGCTGGATGTTAAGGAAGTGCCAGTAATGATGGGACAGAATTATATTCTAGTCTTAAGCAGGTTTCCTCACTGAAGTTTTTATTTGATGTGTGGCTTTGTGGACTCCGCTTTCATTAAAGGTAGACCATTCTCAGCTAAGAGAACACAGTTCTGACTCCTGATTAGGCCCACATTTCTCCTCAGACCAGTGGCAGGTCCAGATTTACTGAGCTGTTTGTGTTTATTTAGACTTTGGGACAGGTGAATATTTAGCACATTTTCTCTTTATTGCAGTTATTCCTCCTCTGTAGAGCAGAGAAAGGACTTCTTCACTTTTCAAGACACATTCATGCAGATTAGCAGGTCTTAGGTGCTTTGAAATACAAACAAGAGGATATCAAGAAGGAAATTGTCGCTGATTTAAAATCCTCACCAGAAGCATGTACTTCTTTGGAAACATAAAAAGGTTATTTCAGAGCAAGACAAAAGTATGAAAGGCTGGTTCAGGAGTCATTCTCATCTAGCCGACCTCTATCATAATTTTCATTTTCCTGGACATAGGCCAGTCACTCTGGATATGGTGTGTTAACTTACTGAAAGATGCAAACTTCAGTTCACAACAGAAATCCCACATTTTTATTAAACATGCTGGGGTTTGGAGGACTTTAAAACTCAACCATGGTATCTGGGCTTTCCCCACAGAAGAAATGAACAGTTATCCTTCGCCTGAACTTCAAGAAGAGTGTGAAAACTTAGATCGGGGAGACATACAACAGCAAGTGTCTATGATTGAAAGGTTTGGAATTGCCTATTTAACTCTTTGAGTGTGTATCTCTGAATATAAGATTTTTCCCTTTGTGTTAGTAGTAGTATTCAAAGTAGCTTTAAGAGAAATGGGATCAGGATGCATTTTTCAAGGTCATACTGGTGGTTAAATACTTCCTCTTTTCCCTCTCCTTAGAAGGATGCTTTTTCCTGGAATGGCTGAACTTGGTTCCAGTCATGATTTAGAAGACACCGAAAAAACTGAAAATAGAGTCATGAAGAGTATTAAAGAGAATACCAAAGAACTTGTATACACAATGCCAGAAATGAGATATGATTATGAGGAGAAGAATGAATATTTCACAGATGGAGCTGCTGCAAGAGAAAAGCCACAAAAATGTGGAGAAGCTCAGGAGAACAAGGAAAACTTAGATTCAACACTAGAAACTAGAACTGCCTGTAATGATTATGGTATGATTTTAGAATATGAAAATCCTTTTTTAATTCAGTTAAAAGGCTCTAAATTGTAAAGGGCTCAGGTGAATATTTATACAAGATGAAGAATTTCCATTAATTACACTTTTCCAAAGCATTTAGTCATCATATGTTTGCATTAAGTCCAAATCTATACCGTAAGAGTCTGTAACTGAAGACTGAACTATAGGTGTCATTGTGACTTTAGTTTTGATTTGTAACTTTTTGTGATATATCATAAATATCATAAAAAGTTCTAATCTCCCTTACTAAAACAGATGACCATTTTAAATTCCAAGTTGCACTGTAATTCCTGAGTTACTCCTGCTGCTAACTTAGCTCAGCATGGAGGAACTAAATATATCTCTGATACAGTCTGTTCCTGTAGGAAGAACAGGATCTCTCTGCAGAAGTCTCAAAATATATATTCTTCATTACTTCCTAATTATCCATTTTCTTCACAGATTTGACAATTGGTACAGGTATGGGAAGCTGATTGTGCGATTGTCATCAACATTCTTTTAACACAGTTCAGTGGTTTTGTTGTTTAAACTGCAATTAGAAAGAATTTATGTGGAAAAAAAAAAAAGAGAAGGTGCCTGCATAGTTTTGGGTGTGGTACTCATTGCCGCAGCTGTCATCCCTTTGTTTTTCATCCCTCTCCACTCAAAAATGATTCTGGAATGTCTGGTAGCCCCCTATCCCTGATAAGAGAGTCCCAATGCCTTTGCAATACTGTTTTAATATTGGATCTTTAATTAAGAGCTAGTGTAGCACTGTGAATGCTGTACAACCACAGTGCAAACGGACTTACTCAGCACCATAGAAATTGGTCCCATCGCCTAACTGCATGTGTACAGCCTTGTTAATCTCTTATTAACCAGTTCATGGACTCTGTGGTCACACAGGAAGTCCAGTAACAGGAAGATCTGTTACTGTTTATACTTTACAAATAAAATATTTCCTTTGAGGAAGTAGTCAGGGTCATTGCACCAATGTAAGAAGTGACCTAAGACACTTAAGGGAGATGTATGAACTGCCTTTCTCAATCCTGTGTTTTAACACCCGACAGTTTACTTCTAAAAACATATTAACTCAGTTCCAGAACTTGTCTTTTGAGAGATATACTTTGTACTGATCTGTTGCTTGAGATTGTTGATTAGGAGCAGGTTACATCATTTTAAATCTTTAAGCTGGATAGTTTTATCAGTATTTTGCTTTACTTCTCAGTTCTTCCCCTTCCATGTTGTACAGACATCAAAGTCTAGAGCTGCCCTTCTGTCTTCTTTTGAGTAACTCTGAATTTACATTGGTGAAAGCTGATTAGATCTGTTCTTACTGAATGCCAGATTGCTACAAAGTATGCTACTCTCACCTACTTTGCTAATTTATGCAATTTAAATCTATTTTTAATTATTATTGGATTTGGCTAAGAGACTATCATGGATAGTTTAACAACCTATGTATGTTCATTTATGAAATTTTATTGATGGATACCAGTATAACAAGTTGGAATAAAGAAGAGGGAAATTATTAAAAGGTTCATTTACATAGTCCCTGTGGACCACATACAGTCATTTTACAATCATTTTAATAAAAAGTCTGTGTTAGAAGACTAAAAACCTTTTAGCATTCCTTCTGTTTATGCCACTGAAAATCTCATAATTTCAGATGTTCTTTCTGGTTAAAGCAATCATAAGAAGGGGGTCTTCAGACCACGCTGACACTGTGGGTTTGTAGATGAATACTCAGTAAATCTTTGTAAGATCTTGAACACTGACTACTTCTTTCGTCTGACAGTTTGCAGTAAATGTTAGTTTTCCCTGACTTTACAGTGCTAAGATTTTGTTAAATCTGTCTCTTATTTCCCTTTTCCAGATGCATGTGACCTTGTTCAAGATAGTGGAGAATGTCAGAATTACGTTTTGAAGTGGTACTACGACAAAGAGCAGAAAATGTGTGGTCAGTTCTGGTATGGGGGCTGTGGAGGCAATAGAAATAGATTTGAAACACAAGAAGAATGTGGATTCTTGTGTATAGAATCTTCCTAGAGCAGATACACTTAAATTACTTTAATTCTTCTTTTAGTCTATCAGGGTGATGCAGAAAAGGGATTCAAAAGAAGACTTTACATAGCCACTTGGCTCCCGTGTTTCAGTTGAAAGAAATACTTGGTTATAAAGTTATTACCTGGTAACTTAATTATGAAAATTAAAATTTAAGCTATTACTCCATTGATCTCATATAACATGCTGAGTACTGAGAAATTTGTTAACCAACAGCGTATTGTTTAAAAGGCATGAAAGTATTGAAACTTGACTTTCTTCCATAAATACCAAAATGTGCACTTCCTAAATATACTCCATAAAATAAAACAATACCTCAGAGATTTTCGTGAAATAACTTTGGATGCAAGACACTAAAGCCAAAATGTTTTGATGTGTTTGCTTACATTTATCCTGTTTATAGAAAATACCAAAAAGCATTTAGATCTCAAATCTAGGACTAGTGGAATAGTCCTAGGACTTATTTCACTCTGGTTTAGACGATTTTCTACCACAGAGTCATTCTTGGCTTCTTAATTATTTTTCTTTCTGAATAATCCAACATGTGAATAAAATAGATCATTCTCAAATATTATACTTCTGCTTCTAGTTCCTGAAACAGGTATAATTGTATTCTCACTGTGTGGTTTCTCATTTGTAAATAAGCATTGGTCCCCTTTCCTTGTTAGCAGACATTAGACAAAAGTATTTATTTTAGAACATTAGATTTTCATGGTTGCTCTTGAGTGAAAGAAAAGATCCTGAGGACATCATCTGATTAGAGATAATAAATACAATGCTGTGCAGGCCGTTGGGACTTAGATAAACTTCCACACTCTGCTGACTTATCCAAACTTTACTGTTGCCCGTTTTATGTCTATAGAAGTCACGGTGCATTTAACTTCACCTTGGGCCATTCTGCAGAGGTGGCTGTACTCATCTGGAATTTTGTTCTTCTCTGTATTCATCTGCAACAAGAGACAAGGTTACATCTAGTGGCGGTTTTCTTTATGATTCTTTGAAAAAAAAAATTAAACTGGAAGAAGAGCTGTAAAAATGATACAGAAAATGTTTCTTACTGAAGAAATAAAGTGAAAAAAAATTATATGTATTCTATGTATGAGGATGGATGCCACTGGATAAGAGCAATATATCAGGCCCCCTTAAATAAAATTTAAAATTTCCCTTTATAAATACAGCCTTTTCTGTGATTCAAAGGAATCACATGTACGATAGTGAACCCTTCCTAGCAAAAGAGCTCCTCCTGGCACCCCAGGAGGATGGTTGTTGGGTTGGCTGTTTCAAGGGAAGGTCTCCTCAACACACCACACAACTGATGCTACATGGAGTAAGTGGGTCATACTGATCACACAACAAGCTTGGACAGAAAGCATCAGTCATCCAGGAATCTTAGAAGTGCTCATGGACTGGCCAGAAGGCAAAGATTTTGGAATATCACCAGAGGAGGAAGTGACATATGCTGAAGAGGGCCCACTATACAATGAATAGAGAGTGAGAAGTAATTGCCTAGTTTACTGATGAATCCTGCCATCTTGTGAGGAAGCATCAGAGATGGAAAGGAGTTGTATGGAGTCCCCTACCACAAATCACAGAACCTGCTGAAGGATAAGGTGAATTGAGTCAATTTGCAGAGGTGAAAGCCATCCACTTGGCCTTAGACAATGAAGAACATCAGAACAACCAACAGGTAGATCAGGATGCTAGGACTGAAGTGGCTCAGGTGGTTTTGAATTGGCAACATAAGGGTGAATTATTTCTAGCTTGGTGGGCCCATGACATCTAGGGCCATCAAGGAAGAGGTAGAAAATACAGATGAGCTTGTGATTGAAGAGTGGACTCAGCCATAGACAGTATCACACAAGCTATCCATGGATGTGAAATGTACACTGCAATTAAGCAAACCAAGTGGATAAATCCACTCTAGTGTGGAAGACAATGGATGACATAAAAGTATCGAGAGGTCTGGGAGCTTCACTATATCACATGCCCTCAAACCTCGTGACAGC